ATTGAACCTTTTGGCTTTATCTCTTCCTGCGTCTGCTGCTTTTAAGCTCTGCCCCTTATGTAGGTCACACTTCCACATTTTATGCTTGAGCTGCTGTCTTGAAGCAGGATCTCTTGTAAAAGGAAAGAAATGTATCATCTCTGTAGAAATAGGGCTTCATTTTTTGCCACAGTAGTAGCAGCAATTTTCTCTTGCTTAAATCCCACTTAGCTTGGGTGTTGCTTGATTACTGCTCAACTTGAGCATTTTAAAGTTGAGTCTGTGATAGGATTGTTCCTCTGCAAGCACCTTAAGCTACTTTTAAGATAAAATTTGTACATTCCATGTCAGGAAGGCAAAAAAATGGACAGCCAGCCCTGTGCTCAAACTGAGGAGCAGCTCAGCTTCTGGGGGTCTTCAGAAAAGGTGAAGTGCCACTTACTGATAAATCTCCATCATTTAAAAGGGGGGGGGGAAGCTCTCCAGACTCCTTGGTTCAGGTAGGAGGGTGCTTCCCCCCTTAGCATCATTATGAGATTTGTAGTAATGAACACTTGGAATTGATGAAGAAACAACATTTCAAAGTTGATTTAATTTCTGTTTAGTGGTTGATTTTTAATGTAAAACATTGCCCTTGAATCTTGGCATTCCTGTGGATTTCATGGCCTTTCTCTCCACATCTTGCTCAACATTAGAGATGAGACCTCCTGTGAAGCCACTCGGCGTGTCGTAAGGCTGATCCAGCTTCATGTGCTGCAGAAGAGGGTTTTTTTAATATTAATCACTTCATTAGTGCAGAGGGAATCCTGTAGGCATGTGGGGTTGGAAAGAGGATGCCCAGGTTATGCTTGGAGAGGCTGAGGCTCCTGTCAGGCAGCTCCCAGGCTGGGGATTTCTCAGTTCCCAGCTTTCCTGGTCTTCTGAGATCTGCATTTTCCCAGTTTTTACATTTTTATTTCCAAATCAATCTTAATTTTGCCAGTGAATAACACCCCTCATCGTTGTATCTTTGCTATCCCTTTGCTCCAAGGCCCTCTGTTTCTTTGGGCCTTATTTTGTCTCCAGTTTCTTGGCCAAGTTCAGCTCCTGTCCCCAGCACCTCGAGTTGCCTTCTATCTGCCTTTGCTTCTGAGCTGCAATTCTTTGGGTGTTTTGGGGGGCTTAAAAAAAAAGAGGGTTTCATTAAAAATCTACTCAAGCCAGGGTTCTTTATGGCATGAGAGCAAAAATACTATTGCTCTATTCTCCAGCAAATGGGACTTCTGAGGAGCAGGTTGTGAGTCTGTCTCCTGGGTCAGTCCCCTTAGGTGTGTGATAAGCTGTCATCTCTTCCCCCATGCAGACTTGCTCCCTGAGGGGCATTACTTGTTTGCCAGAGTCTCTACACTGAGTCCACGTTTCTATTAAATATCATTTCAAGTTCACTAGGAGACTATAAACTGACCAGGAACGTGCAGCTTATCAGGACAGTGAGGCAGGTGCTCAGATCCCCTCCTTGCCTCGGCAACAAAAGGGACCCATGGGGATCTGTCTCCTATTGTGGGCTCTGAGTCTGTGTTTGCAGAAGCAGCTGCTGAAGATAAAAGCTGCTTCTTGCACAGCTAAATGGAGAAGAATGTGAATTTTTCCTGGAAAGTAACTTCTTTGAGTTGAAGAGGTGAGGACGTTGCCCCCGTGCAGCCGCCTGCTCCAACGGGCTGTGCTTCCCAGCAGGTCTGGTCAGGCTGAGCTTGTCCCTACCCCAGCCTGCTTTCTGCCTTCAGGGATGGAGAACTCCTTGCTTGTTGTCTACGTGCTCTGCTCCTGTTTGAAGCTCCAAGCTGAAGTTTCATAGGAGCTCAGCACTAGTACAGAACTGATTACAAAGCCTACAGAAGGTCAGGTTTGGGCCATTTCAAACCCAGTTGTGTTCTGGCTCTTGATGGGACTGATCCTGCAGCTCTTGACCCACTTCTAACACCAGTAGATGATCATGTTGTTAAGTCTCAACCATGTCCTTAGGTCTTGGCCATGGCTGGTAGTTGCTTTGGGTGATAATGTTCCTGTGTTGCCTGCCATGCCCTTCTGCCCACTCCTCATCTTGGAGCGAGCTGGAGCAGAACAGATGCCCAGATGCCAGCAGCAGTAAATTCATGCCTTGTCTGCTGTAATCTCCAGTATGATCTGCTCATCCACCTGAGGGCCAGGTGGCCAGGCTGGAGAGCTCAGCCAGGCTGGGGGAACGGGCTGGCTGAAGCCTTGTGAGATCCAACAAGAATAGATTTTATAAGGACTTGTTGTAAGGGCACGTAGCGATGGGACAAGGGGGAATGGCTTTAAACTGGAAGAGGAGAAATTTAGATTGGATGTTAGGGAGACATTTTTTGGTGTGAGGGTGGTGAGACTGGCCCAGGGTGCACAAGGAAGCTGTGGCTGCCCCATCCCTGGCAGTGTTGAAGGGCAGGTTGGATGGGGCTTGGAGCAGCCTGGGCTGGTGGGAGGTGTCCCTGCCCATGGCAGAGGGGTTGGAACTAGAAGATCTTTAAGGTGACTTCCAACCCAGAGCCTGTGATTATCCTCCTCCACCACTCAGCAGTTGTTAGAGCACAGCTGGAACATGAGAGGTTTCAGCTGGATATAAGGAGGTCAAGCACTGCAACAGGTTGTAGAGGAGTAGAGGGAGGTGGTGGAGTCTCAATTCCTGGTGCATTTAGGAAAAGCCAAAGCCCTGAGCAACCTGCTCTGACCTCAGAGCTGACCCTGCTTTGAGAGGACATTGGACCGGAGACCTCCTGAGGTTCTCTTACAGCAGAGGAGGGGAAGGCACATGGGTCATACTGAGGAACATCCACCTCAACTTGCCTACAGAAAGGAAACCAGACACTGGAGCTCTTGTGGTGTGTAGGACTTGGTCACCTCGAGTTACTCACAAAGGCACATCATGTAGTTTTAGGAAATGTCCCAAGTTTCCTCCCTCCTTTATGATGCTGAGGATTCCGAGGGGCTTCTTTAAAAAAACCTTCATCACCAGAGCAGAAAATATGTTGTTAATGCTGGGGACAAAGGAGAGGATGAAAGGCTCAGATCTGTGCAGCTTTTCTGGTTGGTTGGCTGCTGCTCTAACGGGTAGTGCTGGAAAGGGCAGGAAGTGCCCTGAGGAGCAACGTGGGGGAGGCAGCCAAAGTGCTCTGCTTCTGGGGGGCTTGAGAGAGCTGATGGTTTCTGTAGAGCTTCATGGCAGCTGTTTGCAGGCTCCTGTGATCAAGCAGCATCAGGTTGGCCCATGGACCTCTTCCTTGCATGACCAGGAGCTCCAATATCATGTTTTCATATTTTGATGCTTCAGAGTCCCTGTGGATATAGGGTTCAGCACCACCAGGCCCATGTGGAGCAAGTTAATCTACTTGTGTTGTGTTTTTTTTCTTTTTTAACCATTGGTCAGTAGATGTTCCTGCATGCTTGGAGTGCCCTTCTGCAGAAGGGCAGTGGTGGAGAAGGATTTGAGATGGTTGGTGGAGTTCACCTCTGTCAGAGTGTGGGGTGTGACCATCAGGCTGAGTTGTCTGTAGTGTAGGGAGTTTCAAAAGGGCAAGTTTTGCTTCTTGACCACCAGGGTTACTTTAAAGTGCAGATCATTATTCTTCTAGGCCATAAATTCCCAAGCATCAGGGTGCAGACTAGTCCACTCTTCCCTCTGAAGCTGCTGCATCTCATGTCCAGGCTGTGCAGGTGAACCTGTATGGTCCTACCTCTGACTGGAGGACATTTGCCAAGGGCTGTAACCTGCCTCTTTCAGGCAGCAGCTGCTGAGCTGGTGCAGTTCCCTGACATCCTAGAACGTGGAAGTGACAGATTTCAACCAAATATTCCTCAAAGCTTTTGTTCTGAAGCTGAGCTGAAGGAAGAGTTCCTCATCTTTGTGCCCAAGTGTTGAGTCAGCCCCCAGTCCAGAGCTCCCACTCCCTTGGCTTTGCTCTGGTGTGACAGTGAAGCTCTTCCTGTGTTCACAGCCTTTCGTTTTTTTGTTCAAGGGTTCTGTCATCCCACTTTATTCCACATCATTGCCTGGGGTTTGGGGTGGAACAAGCTCTTCTGGAGGAAGCCTTGACGATCCACGCCTAATAGCTGCTTTTCCAGCTAAAATACTGTACCTTTATTTAAGTGTAGAAAAGTAAATGTAATTGGATTATGCAAAATAATCTCCTCAAATGAGGTTTTAAAGCATCAATCAGCAAGTTGTGGGTGCCTGAAGCAGGGGGATCCCAGTGGTTCCTTCGTGCAGCTGAAACATGAAGGTCTCTTATGGAGCTGATCCATGAGGGAGACCCACTGGAACCCTCCTCACGTCAGAACAGGGGGGTTTATAGTGGCAGTGCCTTTACAGCCCAGTTTTTAACTCTGTGTTTTCAGTTCTCCCATTAAATGAATCCATTAGACTTCACAGCTGCTCTTTTTCACCAAGGCTCTTACTTTGATGCCTTCTCATTCTACTGCAGTTTGTTCCCTGTGCCTTCATTTAGGTGAAGGGGTTCAGTAAAATGTTGGGGTTGGATTGTGTTGCCTTCCTTGTGCTTCCTGTGCTGCTGCTTCTGAGAGGTGACAAGGACCCCGTGGTTCTTCCTGAGGGGAATGTGTTGACTCTGAGGGGATGAAAAGGTGTTTCCTTCAGTGCTTGGAGCATGTATGGAGTTGGCTCTCGTGCACAAGACTCTTGTTGGAATCATGGAATGTGTTGGGTTGGAAGGGACCTTTCAAGACCATCTAGTCCAACCCCCTGGAGTGAGCAGGGACATCTTCAACTAGTTCAGGTTGCTCAGAGCCCCATCAAGCTTGACCTTGAATCTCTCCAGGGATGGGGCCTCCATCACCTCTGTGGGCAACTCTCTGGGTGTTTCAGCACCCTCATAGTAAAGAATTCCTGTTCTACTGGGCATCTGGAAGGTGTTTCTTGATGCTTGGAGAATTAGACTCTGTTTTCCCCTCCTTATCTCTTCCATGTTTCACCTGAGTCTCATGATCATGTCTCTCCTCTTCTCTTGCAGGTCAGATGCCAGGACCTGGCTCCATGATCCCTGGACAACCCATGCCAGGCCGGATGATGCCAAGTGTGTCAGCCAACATCCATCCAGCCAGTGGTGGTCCCCCCCCACCTGGCATGTCCCCCATGTCAGGGAATCTCATTGGACCTCGTGTTCCTCTCGCAGCTCCCAACGGCATGTGTAAGTGCATCTGCTGCACAGAACATTTTCATTCCACCTGGGGTGGCTTTTCTGTTGCTTGCAAAAGTCATTGTGGTTGAAACCCCTTGATCTGCTGCAGGAATAATAGGATCTGTGCACACTGGCAGCCCAGGGCTGGTGCCAGAGGTGTGCTTGAAGCTTTAAGTGCTTCTCTCCCCTCTAGGCATCTAAACGTATAATCCATTGTCCTTTATTTTATTTATAACATCCCTTATTTTATTTATAATGGCACTAAAGCTCTGTGGTCATCATCAAAAACCTCTGTCTGGACTGAGGAAGAATGCACAGCAGAGGTTTGGGAATTAACTGTAGCTGAATCCTTACACAGTGGAGGTGAGAGTATCATTCAGCTCAATGCCTTCCTGGAAACTGAGCACTGTGAAATTAAGGAGAGGGGGAGTCCTGATGAGGAGGAAGCAAAAGGTTTAGTGGGAATGTTCCTTACATGGTATTCATACCTCCACCTCCAAAAATGAAGCTGATTTATGCCAGCCAAAAAGTCTGAAGTCAGTAGCCACTGGGGGAACGTGGTTTGAATGGGGCCAGACTCAGAAACCCTGGTGGGTTTCTGAAAGAAAAGCTGGTGGGGCTGGAGCAGGATCCTGGGTCCCAGGTTCCTCAAGAAATTTGCCTGTATTAGTTGCAGCCTGGGACAAGCTGCTGCTCTGCTCCAGCACCACCAGTCTTACCCCAAAATGTTAGAGTAACTAGCACCAGATGGGGAGGAATTGTGATCCCTTGTAGTACCTCTCAAAAAATACCTGGGAAAACCATCCCATTTGGGCTTCAGCTGAAGGTGTTGCTGAGTGCTGACCCATCAGAGTGAACCTGAAAAGCTGCTTTGCTCCTTCTGCTGCTGCTCCAGCTTTCCTTAGTTTTCCTGCCCTTTTTCTGAGCCTCTGCCACTGGGAATATCTGATGTCAGGTTGTATTCCTGCTTGCTGTGTTCCCTTACCTTAATTTCTAGGGTTTTTTCTCTCCCCTACTGAGCAAGTCAGTCATGTTCCATTAGCATCTCCTCTCTGCACAAAAGCTGCCCTTTTGTATCCTTCATTTCTTTCCTCCCACTTGGTGCATCTGTGGATTTCTCTCCTTTAACCTACATATTCAGAGCTTAAGTGCAGGCTCTGGCTGTAGAAGGTGCATTGTTCCATCTACTGTAAATACAAAAGAGCCATCATCAGGAGGTTGGAGCACAGAGCTGGGAGATGAGAAATGCTCGTTCCAGCTCTGGAAGTTGCTGGATGTGAACTTGGCCAGGTTCTGAGCTGTGTGCCTCACACTGCTGGGAGAAACAGGGATGTTCTTTTCCTCTGCTGGAGTCCACGCAGTGCTTGGTGGTTGAAAAGCTCAATGAAACACTCAGTGAAGCTCCATGTGGAGCTTAAAAGTTGGAGAAGCTGCAATGATGGTCATTTCTGGGGCCAGTCCTTCCTACTTTCCCCTTGGATGGATGTGTCTGGTGTGGCTTATAGACACCTTGGCCTTGGGTTCCTTCTCCACTGTCAGCCCCTCCTGTGCTTGGCACTGGGGAGGGGGCACCTGGAATGCTGGGCTCAGGTCTGGGCCCCTCAGGACAAGGAGGACATGGAGGGGCTGGAGCGTGTCCAGAGAAGGGCAAGGGAGCTGGGGAAGGGGCTGGAGCACAAGTGTGAGCAGGAGCAGCTGAGGGAGCTGGGGGTGTCCAGCCTGGAGCAAAGGAGGCTGAGGGGAGACCTGCTGGCTCTGCAGCTGCCTGAGAGGAGGTTGGAGCCAGGGGGGTCGGGCTCTGCTCCCCAGGAACAAGGGATGGGACAAGAGGAACCGGCCTCAAGTTGTGCCAGGGGAGGTGGAGGTTGGATCTGGGGAACAATTCCTTCCTGGCAAGGGTTGTCAGGGCCTGGCCCAGGCTGCCCAGGGCAGGGGGGGAGTCCCCATCCCTGGAGGGGTTTCCAAGCCCTGGAGATGGTGCTGAGGGACATGGGGCAGGACTGGGGGAACGGGTGGGCTGCATGATCTTACAGGGCTTTTCCCTCCAGAAGGGTTCTGTGGTCCCTGCTCACTGTTTCTCTGCTGGTTTTTGCAGATCCCCCTCCGGCCCAGCCGCCCCCACCAGCAGAAGGGGTGACCCCCCCTCCAGCAGGAGCCCCGCCGGCCTCGGCCGCTCCCTAAGCAGCCCAGGAAGAAGGAACTTCTACAGCAACATAGTGGTGACCAAAAATGAAACTCCTCAGTTACCTTCTGTTCCCTTGGGAGGCTCTTCCCTCCCACCGGCCGTGTCTGTGCACACCCCCCCTGCAAGCACATGTACACACAGTCTGTCCCCCCCTCCCCACACCGCTGTGACCTTGGCAGTGCTCAGCATTCCTTTGGGAATTCCTTCCAGGCAAGATGCCAGTGGTGCCTCCATGTTGCTGCTGGGGAGTCCTTCACGCTCTGGTCTGCTTGCCTTTCAGCCTGGGCTGGACTCTGGTTTCTTCCATCTTGGTGTTTTGAGCTTTGGGTTCTCCCGGGGAGGGTAAGAAGCGAAGGCCTTGGCTGAGCTGCTGGATGCAGCTCCTGCTCCCCCTGGGCTGGAGTGTTTTGGGCTCTCCAGGTAGAGCAAAGCATCAGGATGGGATCCCAAACCAGTCTGGTGAGCAGAGAAGGAAAACCGGGCCGTGCTGCTGCAGAGAAGGTGCAGAAATGCCAGCCCTGTCTGGGTGCAGATCCCTGGTCACTGAGGACACGGCCCCATCCTGGGCTGCCTCACTAACTTATTAAGGACAACGATCCCAGTTGAACAAACCCACTTGCTGGTGGGAGTTTTGCTCCAGTTCTTAGCTTTCTTTTGCCTTTGAAGGTGGTAGTTGAGCCTTCCCTCTGAGTAGTTTGGTCCAGTAGCCCAACTGAGGAATAAAACCATGATTTGTAGTCCCTCTTTTTGGAACATATACTTTTTACTTTTTAAAATGAACAAAACACACAAAAAAATTTAAAAAATAATAAAATAAAAAAAAAGTAGATAGTGAAGAAGTGCTGGAGTGGGGGGTTGGGGTGGCTGGGGTGCACAGGCCAGAGCTACCTCCTGTGGATGGCTGAGGGGGCAGAGTCAGCAGCTGTGGGATGGGACAACTCGGGTGTCAGGGGTGGTAGGGAAGGGACCAGCATCAGCCAGCAAAGCTGGGAGCTCTGGTTGAGTGAGACCCCCTGACCCCCAGGCTGCCACCATTGCTGGTTTGCTCCTCAGTGGTGACTGCAGGAGCAAGTCACTTTGCTGGTTGTGGTCTGGGTTCTCCACCCTGTTCCTCATGTCAGAGGGTTTGACAGGTCTCCTTGCCAGGGGCTGGAGATTGCTTGCTGAATTAAAGAGCAGCTTTGATCACCCAGGGCGAGGTGGTGGGGCCGTGCTGCTGCAGAGAAGGTGCAGGAATGCCAGCCCTGTCTGGGTGCAGATCCCTGGTCACTGAGGACACGGCCCCATCCTGGGCTGCCTCACTAACTTATTAAGGACAACGATCCCAGTTGAACAAACCCACTTGCTGGTGGGAGTTTTGCTCCAGTTCTTAGCTTTCTTTTGCCTTTGAAGGTGGTAGTTGAGCCTTCCCTCTGAGTAGTTTGGTCCAGTAGCCCAACTGAGGAATAAAACCATGATTTGTAGTCCCTCTTTTTGGAACATATACTTTTTACTTTTTAAAATGAACAAAACACACAAAAAAATTTAAAAAATAAAATTAAAAAAAAAGTAGATAGTGAAGAAGTGCTGGAGTGGGGGGTTGGGGTGGCTGGGGTGCACAGGCCAGAGCTACCTCCTGTGGATGGCTGAGGGGGCAGAGTCAGCAGCTGTGGGATGGGACAACTCGGGTGTCAGGGGTGGTAGGGAAGGGACCAGCATCAGCCAGCAAAGCTGGGAGCTCTGGTTGAGTGAGACCCCCTGACCCCCAGGCTGCCACCATTGCTGGTTTGCTCCTCAGTGGTGACTGCAGGAGCAAGTCACTTTGCTGGTTGTGGTCTGGGTTCTCCACCCTGTTCCTCATGTCAGAGGGTTTGACAGGTCTCCTTGCCAGGGGCTGGAGATTGCTTGCTGAATTAAAGAGCAGCTTTGATCACCCAGGGCGAGGTGGTGGTCAAGGCTTGACCCAGGAGAGATCTCCCAAAGAATCTGAAACCCACAGAACCACTTAGACCATTACAAAAAAAAACCAATAATCATTTACTTTGAAGAGCACTCAGGTGATTGCCTCAAGGATGGGGATGGTTGAACTTCCCAGGTCCCATGAGTGTGTGGAGTTACCATTGCTGGGCTGCCTTGGTACCTCCCGTGCGTAGGATCCATGTTTTCCACCAGGGAGCTTGGAGAACCCACAGTGCCTACAGCAGAGGTCAGGGCTGCCTGCCTTCTGCCTCCCACCAAGGAACTTCTCCCCCCATGGTCCCTTTCCCTCCAGGATCTTTGGGGTGAGCACGGGATTTTTCTGGTTTAGAAATAACCTCAGGTTGTTTTTAGCGTGATCAACTTCAGATCTACAGGATCCAGATGGAGACTTATTTTTTACTGTACTAGGGGTGATCCTCCAGAGCACCTGGATCCTTGACACCGTCGTGTTTCTCTAGAAACAAAACATGTGCTGACTTTTTCATCTGATCCTCTGTACAGGCCCCAGTTTTATTCCTGCAGCACAGCCACCCGATTTTGTGAAATAAATAATAATAATAAAGTGGTTTTTGTACAAACCTGGTGCTGCTTTGTCTGGAGCCTCTTTTCCCTCCCGGCGTGTCGGGGATGAGCTGAGGACTGTTGATGAGATCTGGGACTGGTTTTGGGGCTGCATCTTGACTACAGCAGAATGAATAATGTAAATGCTGTGACTTGTTTAATTCAGATGCCTCTTCAGATCTTTTGGTGTCTGCCACAGGGCTCCAGGGACTTCCAGGATAGTTTTCCTTTTTGATGAAACTGAAACAGGGAATTCAATCTGGATTATATCCTAAATTCTCCTGCTTCTTCTCCAGGTAAAGGCTTTTTTTTTCCCTTGAAGAAACATTCCTGGGCATCCTGGACATGTCCCTTGTTCCCTGATGCTGAAGAAGAAAAAGCTCAGGGGTGGAGATGTGCCCCCAGGTCCAGAGCACCCCACAACCACCTCATCCCCTTGGCTGCCTTGGCAGCTGTGGGAGGTCCCTAGGGCCAGGGTCTTCTGCTGGACCCTCCCTTGGTGGGCTCTCAAGTTCCCCCTCATCCCATCCCTCCCTGCCTTTGTCCCTCCCCAGCTTTCCTGGAGCCCCTTCAGGCACTGGAAGGTGCTCTCAGGTCTCCCTGGAGCCTTCTCTTCTCCAGGCTGAACACCCCAACTCTCCCAGCCTGTCTTCATTGGTCACAGTGTCGATTCTTGAACAGGTTTTTCTGTGTATGGGCCTTCAGACTGTTGCAGTCATAGAGGAGGGCTAAGAACAGGCTGTTGTCTTGGCAGAAATGAGGAGTGAAGTTGGGGGGGAGGTCTAGAGGGAGTTGAGGACCACGATTCTGATGTCTGAATGTTGAATCTCTGAAAGATGTGGTGGGAGCCAGTAGAGAGAAAACTGATCCCTCAAGGCGTGTTTAGGACAAAGCTCTAAACTCCTCTGAGCTGCCTCAGTGCCCACAGGCCAAGGCGATGGGGGGGTCAGTGGGAGCCTCCCTGCTCAGCTTGTCCAAAACCTGTGCTGTGTTTGCTGATGCTGCTGGGCTGGGGTCTGCATCTCCATCTGAATCCTGCTGTGCCCCCAGAGAAGGGAGGTCTGGTGGGCAGGTTTCCTTTGCCTTGGGACCGTGGACCAGGACCAGGTGTTCCCACCCCAACTGTGCTTGTCTCCACTTCCTAAAAAGACCCCACCCCTCCCGGGGTGGCTGTGTCCTGCCTGCTGGTACCAGCTGCACCTCCTAGTTCCTAAAAACCTGCATTCTCTTTATTTTTTTTTCCTGGCTGACTTAAAGCCAAAGCTGCACGTTGTGGCACCGAAGGGGTTTGTTGGGTGTGAGGCTGGGAGGGTGAGTTGTCCTCCCACCTCCTTGCTTCAAGAAAAAGGAAAATTGACATGGATTTGGTGAGGATTTGAGTGGATCTGGGTGACCTGCCAAGGTCCCTTGCTCGGCTCTCCAGGAACACTGTTGCTCTTTGTCTGGGCCTGCTCTCCGTGTGGGAATTTCCCTTTCATTGGAACCTTCTGCTGCTGCTGGGGGTCACAGCACAGGGACCCTTTTCAGCTGCTCCTGGAGCTCTTGGGCAGTGGGATGTGGCCTGAAGGCTGTAACAGGAAACCAGGAGTGAGGGTTTGGGAGTTTTTTCTCCTAAATGCCCCGTTTTCTCTCCTTACATAGTGATGTGTGATGGGAACAACCTTCAGAGGCAGCATCTCTCTGGCATGTTCCCAGGTTTCTCCCACTGGGATGTTCAGTGGAGCTGGTGGTCACCATGTGCCAGCACTGAGGTTGCCCACCCAGGTCTGTGTCACTGAGCTGAACAGGATCCAAGGGGAGGAGCAGTGTTCCTGCATCTGGCCTGTGGGACCAGCAGGTGATCTGGTGGATGACAAGCTGGACCAGCCACTTCCACAAGGCATGTTCAGGGATGCCCCTGAGGGACATCCCCTTCCCAAGCACTTGTCCACATGAGCCACCAGATCCCTGCAGGATACATTTCATGGAAGTCCCTTGTTCTGCTGCTGGGGACCAGGATGCTGTAGAAGGCACTGAAATGGAGACAGGTCCTGCCTTTGGAGGGTGCTCAACGTGGAGCTGATTCTCCCCTGCTATAATTTTGGCTTCCAGATGCAGCAAAGTCTTGGAGGTCAGTGACCTGTGGACCTGTCGTGAGAAGGACAAGGTGTGTGGTCACCACTCCGTGCACCACCAGGGTTCAGCTCTTCTGCCCTCCCAAGCTTTTTTCCTTCATTTTCTGTTGGGTGAAGTGGTGTCTTCAGGCTGGGTCCTTAACTGTGCAGCAGCTGCTTGGACTGGTCCTGGCTCCCAGTGGTAGGGAAAGGAAAACCTGGAAGTTAAAAAGCACTTCTGAAGTGCCTCTAGTGCCCTCTTTGCAAAATGGCAAGAACTGACCCGGTTCCTTGAGCTGGGAGGGAGGTGGGGAAGATGCTGCAGCTCCAGCTGCCTCCCCCCAGGCCCTGACAGTTTAACCTGGCACTCCCTGCAGACCCTG